ATTCGTACACATGCCATCTGGTGTTGAAAAATGTAACTAGTTTTGGATAACTGTTTGTGTCACTTGCAATTGTAGTTCCGCTGTCATTGTTAATTATTTTATCATTATGAATGAAGCTACATTTTTACCGCGTGAGAAATCTTCCTGCAGAATTAAGTGTTCTGTGAGAGGCTGTGGCAGTACTGTAGCGAAAAATTTAAGCGTAATTTTCCATAAATTTCCGAAACCAAAACAACGAGTAGTGGATGTGAAAATACGTTCGATAATTTTGAAAAAGTCGATCAATTAAAGGCCTGGAAAAATGCTTTAAAAATAAACAGTATAAAGCCTTCTATGAGAGTATGTTCTCTGCATTTCAAAAAAAGTGATTACATTTTGCCAGGTAAGTTTAAGATTTTAAAATTTGGAGGTTATATAATCTTTCATATTACCCGTGCATGTGAACATTTTGAAAGTTAATTTATCACTGTAAAAACGGATAAATAAATTTTTTTTTCAGTTCTTGTTAACAGACTTTTACAATGAAAAATGAAATACATACATTTATAAATTTTCATATAATTTCATGAAATATAAAGGAAAATACAATACTTTTCTTGCACATGTATCGCTGGATTTGAGAAAATAATTTGTATAAAAATAAGATTTCTTTTATATTTTTATTCATGTTTGTAAATAGGAATGTAAATAGTAATTTTGTATTCAAAAAATTCACTTATACATTTATTAAATTAAGCAATATTTTTTAAACGATTTTGTTCTATTGCATCCCCTGTTATTCCCATGTAAATTCACTAAAAGTGTTACCCAATTTACGCCATATTGCTTTAGGCCCCGCCCCCATGTCAGATCCCAATAGTATATATGAATTGGAATGAATGTATATAAATAACTATATATATACCATAATTATTAATTCATGCGAATATAATTATATGTCATCATAAAAATCAGTATTTCTTGAATATTATAATCAGTAAATAATCTTTTACAGTATATAAAATATTTTATTATCGATTAAGATTTAACAAATGAAAAGATTGCAGTCGGTTAATTATCTACATTAATCTCGGTAAGAAACCGACTGTAACTATATAAATGACTAATCGTTGGTCGGTGTATTATCACGTAATGATGTATGTATATAAGATGCCGAAATTACGAGCTAACTGCAGCCATATATCTTTAATAAATTTCGTAATTGTTTAAACAATCATCATTACATTATTTCAATACTATTAATTATATAATAATAATAATAATAAAAACATATATGTACATTGATTATTAATAGAATATCATATAAATCAATAATCAAATATCAATCAATAACTATTGATAAAAATCTAACAAATATAAAAGATAGTTTTATAATTAATAATTAATAAACTAAATTCTTAATAAATTAATTAAGATATTATTATAATTCTATTAATAAATAATGTACGTGACTTTTGCGCTAAATGAAAATTGTACGTGATAATTGCGCTGTCTGCAAATTATACGTGACAATTCTACCCCTATGAACAAAGATCATGTAGTATATAAACCCCAGTTTTTCTATTGCAAAATGTCAATTGTTCAGACGAGTTTCTGCCCGAACGGTGTCTTAAATTCGGCCCTTCGATTTCGTAATTGTTTATCACTCATTGCTGTTAATCGTGAATTTCGTGAACTTCTTAATTTCTTATTATTACTTAAAAGTTCATATTTTCATTGTATTTCTAAAACAACATTTAGTGTGAATTTAAACAATTCTTAATTGTCGTAATAATCAAATTGTGAAAGTGTAATAAAGACGAACTGTATCATTAATAATTACGACGCATCCAGAGACTCACTTCTGTAATCCTGGTTGCAGCTTGTTATATTACTGTATCGTCGCATCAATTGTAAGTACATTTATAATTAACAAATGTTTATAATAAATTGTCAGTCATAAAAAGGAATATCTCTCTTACATTATTTAACACAAAACCCTTAGTTTTGAGGAAGTGACGCGATCCTACATTAAAAATAAATATCAGGCTTTACCAACCTGATTAATCAGCAACTTATCTCCCTTTTATTATTATAAATAATAAATAAACTCTACCTTAGCTCGGGACGTGACAGCTGATTTGGTGGCAGCGGTGGGATTCCACTTTTGTTAAAATAATTATCCAAAAAGAGAAATTCAATTTTTATTAATGTGTCAGGAAGTAAATACTTTAATTGTTCTTTCTTTAATCAATAAAGTTCTATCTGATTATCGTGACAATTGTTAAATTTTCAACACTTAGAATTGACAGTTTCTGCTCGCGGTTTAGGAGTGTTTCGAAACTAAATTCTTTCCGATTGTATATTCAATCTTATGGTGCAAGTTGAAAAGAAAAATAATTAGAATCAATTGATGGGTATTGATATCCTTTCATAAATACACAATAAATTTTGTTAAAATATTCCTTTAAACATTATAACAAAGTTAATTATTTTACAAACAATATTGCAAATTAAAAACACACACAATTGAAAACTATTGAATTTAGGCCTGATAGGAAATTTTCAATAATAATTCATCTCTTACGCCGCACGGCGAATTGATGTATTATAAAATTTAATTGTTTATTGTAGAGTTGTTTTACGCCGCTCGGCGAATTCTAACTTTGCAATTTTGACGTTTCTACGCCGCACGGCGAGTTACGTCAGCATTAATTAATTGTAATTTTGTGTTTATCAATTTTACGCCGCACGGCGAATCTTGATAATACATATTAATAAATAACTGTAATTGATTTTAGGCCTGAATAGGTAATTATCAATTGTCACTCTTCTTTTACGCCGCACGGCGAATTTGAAGAATTACACTATTCTTTCACTTACATGTAATAGTTATACACAAATTTATATTGTTCACATTTTATTAACATTAATACATATACTATAATTAATAATAAAATTTAATTAATATTAAACTCAATCTAAAGACAATATGTCTTTCTTTTCAGTTAGATAATTATGCAAAATTCTAACCAACCCATCAATAAATCTCGAAATAGAGGAGGAAAAAATACACAAAGAAGATTTAAAAATTGTAACCGTTTAAAAACGTTTCAAACACAACAGGAATTTTCTCAATATTTTGAAAATTTATTGGAGAAAACAGAAAAAATTATATATAAAACTAAAGAGAAACAATAAACACATTATTAGTATAAATCATAATATATCATATGTAATTTTATTCAAATATACTTTTATTAATAAAAAGAAAATATTGTAAATTAACAAAATTTTAATGAGTTTATGTTATATTTCATAAATAAAAAGTAACTATAATGCCATGTGAAATTTACATCATTTTGTACATTATTTTCAATCTTATTTTCGCTTTTATTTATTGGGCAACTAAAGACGAACGAAGTTGTCTTTAAAGAAAAATAAAATTTCAAATAAATTAAATGAATAGTTATTTTCTTAATACTGAATATAATAGATATAGATATCCAAGTGTTGAATTAATTGCAATTGCTTTTAAATCAAACAAAGGAAAATTTATTATTGATCATACTTTAACTATAAATTTAATTAAAGAAAAAGAATTATCATCAACTGTTTATATTAATACGAATGAAATACATTTCGCTCGTGGAAATAGAGTTGTGACAAGAGGTGTTGTAAAAATAGATTTTTATGATTTTTCCCTTAATTTTGGGGTTGTGAACATAGATACCGAATCTGAAATAATTGGCATTTTAGGTGCGCCATTTTTGGACATAATATTTAGCACTGATTATTTTAATAATTGGGCATTAGATTACGAAATATTACAACTGAGACGTGAACGAACTGCACAGCAAATCTTTCAAACTTGTATTTCCTTTCTAACACCAAGGTGTTTCTCTAGAAAATAAAATTCGGTAATGTCTGAAACTAATCTATCAAATAATATTGTATTTAACACAGCAATTTATCCCAATATTCATATTTCATCAAAAGATATCATAAACAATAGAGGACTATTTATAGTTAATCCCAGTATTGATATAAATCTTATCGAAGAAAGTCACATAACCTCATCCACATTCATAAACAGAGCTAGAGATTTTATTTTATCTCCTGGATTAATAAACATTTCCGGTACAGTAGAAATATTGATTGCCGGTAAATTTGTAAAATTTTATACATTTAAAAATATTAATCAAACAGAATTAACAGGTATTTTAGGGCGATCCTTTTTAAACATAGATCCTAAAGAATTTCATTTTTGAAAACTTTAATTAATCTTACAACAATTACTAACAATTGTTATCCTTATTATTCATTACGTTATTAATAATCTATTAAATTAATTAATCATAAACTTTAATAAACAAATAGCATTAAATAAAGTTTTTCGTGATTGAACGCACAAGGCAACATAAAACTATAAGAGGTCATTATAATTTAAAAGTCGCGGCATAATAATCCTCATTGACATTAATCACTTATTAATTCATTCGCGACTCTCTCACAGTAGTTCAAGCCAAATCAAATCAAACGTTCATGCTGCGACAACTGTCACGTTAACTACTAGCTACAGGCTTAAGCCTTTAAGCATTCCTCACACAAAAAAAAAATATAATAAATAAAAATTTACCTATGAGTACATATTTCTATTTTATTGAAAGATATCAAGAATTATACCCTTCTATCTTTATTAAATCTATATTTTTCAAAGAATTTGAAGGAAGATTTATATTTGATCCTTCTCTACCAATAAACTTAATTAAAAGAAAAGATCTAATCCCTATTTTAGAAATTAACAAATCACACCGTTATTCACTTAGAGACGACACTATTATTACAACAGGTCAAACAGACATTTGCATTAATCATACAATTGTAGAATTTCAAACAATAAAATATACCGGATTTACAAATATAATTGGAATATTAGGTTTACCTTTTAAAATTGATATAATAAACGAAGCAAGAGATTTTTCAAAAATTTAATGAAAATTATTAATCCCCCAGACACAATGGCACACGATCAAGAAGCAAACACTATTAATAGAACCTTAAGTGACGCCATGGTAACCTCAATGGCAGAATGTTTCGCGTTACAACAGGGAGTTATGCATATTCCTTTTTATGACGGCAAAAATATTCCTGTAAGAGATTTCATTCAAGATTTAATTAATGGAGAATCTAGTATTCCTGAAAATTGCGAGAATCAATTTGTAAAAGTTGTTTTATCAAAATTGAAAGGTGCTGCTCGTGATAGCACACATGGAAAGAAATTTGATACCATTGACGAATTAATTAATCATTTAAAGCAAAGATTCGGGCCCAGAAAATCTCATTCGTGGTACTTACACGAGATATCCACTATTCGTATGGGTCGAAATGAAGGTGTAAGTGAATTTTATGATAGGTTAACCCTTTTATTAGGAGGAGCTAGAGCCGCCCTTGAAGAAAAATACGAAGCAGATAAAATAGGAAACATGATTGAACCCTTAAACGATTGCGCGTTAGAAGCTTTTATAAGAGGACTTCCGGATGCAATTTCAGGAATGATAGAAGCCCGAGATTTAAAGAAAATAGAAGACGCATTTAAGGCAGCTTTACAATACGAATCCAGACATCAACATCAAGTGCCTAATTATAGCAATAATTATCATTTTTCACGGTATCAGCAGCCGAGCGATTATAGAATGAGAAATTCCGATTACGAACCACGGGACAGAAGCCCCAGCCCAAGAGTACGTTTCACCCCACAAGAAGAACAACAAAGACCACGTTCTCAATCCCCTAATCCGACAGGAATTTTAAAATATCCTTATAATCCTCAACCCTCTACTTCAAATTATTATCCTTCATTTCCTCAATATCCTACGCATTTTAATCCACTTCCATATATGCCATATAATCCTTATCCATATTATCCACCTTCCACAAGGACAGATGGACATAATCCAAGTTCACATGGAGGAGCTAGAACGCCCCCACGCGCTTTATCTCCTGCACTAAATAACGATAAAAATTTAAACTTAAACCAGACTCGCCGAACAGACGCGACGACGAGCCCCGAAAAACAAGAACGTCAAGCCCAAGTAATGATATTCCAAAGACAAGAAGAATCTTGCAAACAAAAATAAACAGAGAATCCCCTGTAATATCCCTAACATCCCCGGAAATAATAAATTCTAAGGCTTCGTTCATAATAGACACTGGAGCTGATGTTAGTCTAATAAAATTATGTGTTTTACAACCGTCATTAATCGTTAGACAAGATGAAGCAATCCACATTGCTGGAATCAATCCTGTAAAAATACCGACACTAGGAACTACTAAAATAACATTCAATAAAAAACCAATAACTTTCCAAGTAGTTCCTTCTGATTTTCCTATTCATTCCGATGGAATTTTAGGCCGAGAATACCTCAGACAAGAAAAAGTCGAAATATCCTTTTGGCATAACACCATGGTAACCCACACTAATCCCACAAAACCTATATTTTTCGAGGACAACGAATCAATTGCAGCCAGGGAAAATTTAGTAGAAAATAAGGAGAATAAACGAAGAGGATTAACAATAAAAGCAAGACAAAGACAAGTAATACCAATAGAAGTAAAAAATAAAGATATAGCAGAAGGATATTTACCAATGATTAATACAGTAGAAGGACTACTAATAGGAGAAGGAGTAGTAACTAATAGAGATGGGGTTTTCCACATTTTAGCCATAAATACAACATTAGAAGACATAGAAGTAGAAATACCGCACCAAGAATTGATTCCTTTTGATTATTACCAATTACCAGGAGAAGAATCCGAAAGAGAACCATCAGAAGAAGAATATGAACCACCAGAAGATAGAGTTTCAGCCATTATTAGCAACCTGAGAATCAATCACCTAAATGCAGAAGAACAGGAACATGTCAGAGAAATTGTAAATGAATATCCGGAAAGTTTTCATTTACCAGGAGAACCACTGACTCCAACAAACCGAGTCCAACATCAAATATTGACTGTAGATGAAATACCCATTCATACAAGACCGTATCGATTTTCACCTTCACAAAAAGAGGAAATCGACAAAGTCATAGAAAGAATGTCTACCGAAGGTGCTATAGGTCCTTCCTCTTCACCATATAACTCTCCTTTGTTAATTATACCTAAAAAGATTGATGGAACAGGTAAGAAAAAGTGGAGAATAGTAATAGACTTTAGAGCACTTAACGAAAAGACCGTGGGTGACTTCTACCCAATGCCCCACATAACTTCTATCATCGATTCTTTGGGCCAAGCCCAATACTTCTCAGTATTCGATCTAGCCAGTGGATTTCATCAGATAGAATTAGATCCCATTGATAGACAAAAAACTGCCTTTTCAACTGTTCACGGACATTACGAATACATACGAATGCCCATGGGACTAAAGAATTCACCAGCTACGTTCCAAAGACTAATGGATCAAGTATTAATAGGATTACAAGGAGTAGAATTGTTTGTCTATTTAGACGACATAGTAATCTATGCTGAAAATCTTGAAGAACATGGCAAAAAGGTAAGAAGATTACTAAAAAGATTAAAAGAAGCGAACCTGAGTTTACAACCAGAAAAATGCGAATTTTTGTTTAAAGAAGTTGCCTATTTAGGGCACATAATTAGTAGCGAAGGAGTAAAACCTAACCCAAAGAAAATAGAAGCTGTAGAGCAATTTCCTACCCCCAAAACACCTAGAAACGTAAAGCAATTTCTTGGTCTAGCAGGTTATTATCGAAGGTTCATAAAAGACTTTTCTGCCAAAGCCAAACCTCTTTCAAACTTACTAAAGAAAGACATAAAATTCGTTTGGGGACCCGAACAAGATCACAGTTTCAAGGAATTAAGATCTGCTTTATGTAAAGCTCCCATATTACAATATCCTGACTTCAATAAACTATTCACTATAACAACAGACGCATCAGACTACGCCATAGGCGCCGTTTTAAGTCAAGAAAAGGACGGAATGGATTTACCTATAGCATATCTTTCTCGAGTTTTAAACCCACCAGAACAAAACTATTCTACTACAGAAAAAGAATGTTTAGCAGTTCTTTATGCTGTCCAACACTTTCGACCTTACATTTACGGCAAAAAGTTCATGTTAGTTAGCGATCACGAACCACTTAAATGGATAAATTCAATAAAAGATCCTGGACAACGTTTAGTAAGATGGCGTTTAAAATTAAGAGATTACGAATATGAATTCAGATATAAACCTGGAAAATTAAATCATAATGCAGATGCATTATCCAGAAATCCAATAGTAAAAGACTCACAAGAATTAATTAACGAAGAAAATTCTAAACAAGCCAAAATTCTAATGCAAACCAGACAATCAAAGCGATCATCAAAAATACCATCAGAAGCATCTACGAGCGCAACAAACACAGGACCCTCCACCCGTAGTAGAATAATTCCACCACCAAAACCCAAAATAAATCCAAAACCCACCACAGCAATTGCTGGACCCTCAACCCGCAGTAAATTAATTCCACTACCAAAACCCAAAGTAAATCCAAAATCAGGTGCAACAAATAAACCAAAAACGAGTAGAAAATTAGAAGAAAGTACTATTGCTCAACGAGTAACAAAAAGAAGAAAAGGAGACCAATTACAATCAAAACAAAAAAGAATTATCGATTCATCATCTAGTTCAGAATCAGAACAAGAAAAAACGGACCCTCCTATACGTAAAAAGAGTTCAAGCGTAATCCCCAGTTTAGTTACAACATTACCCCTATATGACCCACATGCACCTAAAAATGCATCACCAGAAACACCCTTTGAAGAAGAAGAAATAATTACAGATACAAACATTACAGATAAACCAATAATAACAACAATTAGCCCACCCAATAGTGGAAGCGAAGACAGTTCATCAGAAGAAGAAAACATTCTTTCCAAAACTAGGGAAGAAAAATTACAAGAACTAGAGAAATCTGTCTCACAATTTAATGAATCTCTCTCTAAACGTGAAGAATGGTTAAAGGAAAAAGAATTACCACCAAGAAATTGGCCTAACACCTCCCTAGGAAACGATGATCCTGAAATTCATGAAGCCGCTAATGCACACATTCCAGGAAACTATGTAGAATTTTCTGAAAAAGTAGGAGAAATATTAGAACAAGCTCACCAAAAAATTCAAGAATTAACAAATAATCCGATAAACACAAACGAAAAAGAAAAAGAAGCATTGACAAAAGAGCTTGAAGGAGAAACAAACAAAAATAAAAATGTAACCTTCGGTGATCAACCTAAAAGAGCTGTCACGCCGCTAAATTTTGATAGACCACTTGCAATATCAACTCCCTATCCAGTCATCCAAGAAGAATCATCCTCAGAATCTGAAGAAGATGATTACGGTGTAATCCATGAAAAAGAAGAAACAATTGAAGATAAATCTAAGGAAAAACAGCCTATAATCAAATCAAAAATTCAAACATCAATTTCTAGTATTCCCCCTAATCTTCCAGAAATAATAAATCAAGAAATAAACACAGAAAATTTAAACGTTGTAGGTTGTAGAGAAAATTTAACATATTATAAAAATAATTATGTTCATTTTCTATCTGCAGATTGCGAAATAACCACACCTATCGGTCGTCTACTTATCGATATCGGTGCAATTGATCCACAGGAAATAAAATTACAAAACCCTCAGAAGGGACAAATCTTAATAACTCCTAGAGGACGTTATAATATTTATTCTCTTGTCGTAAAACATAATCATTTTGATCGACTTTATATTGACGATATTCGAACTACATTACAAAGCTTAAAAATTACTCTTCAAAGAAATAATATAAAAGAAATCAGAATATCCAAAGGAGGAGATTTAACAAATGAATTATTAAGAGGCGAATTATTACAATTATTACAGTCCATTTTTCAAAATAGTAACATAAAGGTCACTATATGTTATGGTCAAGTTACAATCCCAAAAGAAGAAATTCGTGAAGCCATAATTAAAGAATACCACAATAGTAAAATAGGAGGACATAAAGGAGTAACGAAAACTTATCGTAGAATACGCGAAAAGTTTATTTGGCCAAGAATTAAAGAACAAGTAACAGAATTCATAAGAAAATGCCCCACCTGCCAAGAATTAAAATTAGTAAGAGCAAAAACTAAGGAACCAATGTTAATTACTGACACACCACTTGATGTTTTTGACAAAGTTTCATTAGATACAGTAGGAAAACTACCTACAACCCCAGATGGAAATTGCCACATATTAACTATGCAAGATCAATTATCAAAATATTGTATAGCAGTACCTATTCCAGATATTTCAACCACCACCATAGCTCATGCAGTAGCCACAGAATTATACTCGAAATATGGAGCCCCAAAGACAATACTAACTGATAAAGGAGGAGGTTTTATTAGTAAACTCATGAGAAAACTATCCAAAATATTTGGAGTACAACAAGTAACAACATCTGGATATAGACCACAAACAAATGGAAGTTTAGAAAGAAGTTTTAGTTGACTTTTTAAAACAATATTCAGAAAATTATGACGATTGGGATAAATTATTACCCTTCTCAATGTTCGCATATAATACTTCAGTGCATGAGGCTACAAAATTTAACCCCTTTTGAATTAGTTTTCGGAAAAACTGCTAGAACCCCTAGTTCTTTTCCTTCAGAAGAAAAATTAGAAACTTACGGATCTTATTTATTAGAATTAATAACCAGAATAACAGAAATACGAAATATGGCAGCTAAAAACCTCATTCAATCTAAATTAAAATCTAAAGAAAATTATGACAAAAATTTAAAACCCTTTTTAGGAAAAATAGGCGACAAAGCCTACGTTTTAAGAGAAGTAAAGAAAAATAAATTCGACCCTTATTATCATGGACCCTACGAAATTGTGGATATCTTAGATAAACATACCGCTATTTTAATTACAAATGAAGGTCAAAGGTTTCAAAAACATATAGACAAATTAAAACTTGCATATGAATAAAAATAATAACATTATTTTATGTATTATAGATGGCAGAAGTAGTACTCCAATCACCACCTCTCCAGGGAGAGGTCGTCAACGAAATCAATTTCCCAAAAGGAGACATTAACGAGATCGAATTCCCCAAAGGAATTTTAGAATAATTAGCAATAGAATACAATCTAACAAAACCAAAATATATTGTAGAAAGAGTAGTAGGTCCTTCTAATAATAGAAGATATGACGTGAAATGTACGGTAAAAGATTCAGATAATGGTAACACATTTATAACTATCGGAGAAAATGAAAGAAAAATCAGAGATGCTGAACATGCGGCTGCGCGAAAAATTTTAAAGCTCTTAGAAAAAACCTACTACTTTAGCGAAGAAGCAGTAGATCCCGAAACCAACGGTTTAAGTTATATTATGTGTTTAACCCACCCAACAATATTAAGAATAAAATTATTCAAATGGAGTAATAGTTGCGAATCGTGTTTTATGAGAGGCCATTTAAGAGCCAATTGCTTTGGAACCATAAGAAATAAAAATTTAATGCCAAAATTTAAACAAGAAAGTGCTGATGAATTCTGGGAAATACCAGGAAAACCTTTATTAAATTCAGTAAATAATAGTTGCGAAGATACTTGGGATCTCCCAGAGTCAACAGTACTTTAAATATGCAACTATTGCGAAGTTTTCGTAAATAAATAATCTTAATAATGTAATAAAATTTATGTAATCTTAATAACAAACAATAATTATACGAATTATAATTACTTATGTCATAATTTCAATAAATAATAAAAATAAATAAATAAATAAACAAATAAAAAGACGAAAGAAAATGAAGGAAGAGGAATTGGTGGTTGCCTTCTTCTTTCCTCTTTTTATTAATAAATCATTTATAAAGAAAATATATAATCCAACTAAAAACATAAAGTATTAATGTACATAACAAAAAGTTTTTAATTAATCATAGAAACATACTAAATCACATAAGTAGAATTATATTATATAAATAAAAATTATGTTGTATAAAAACATATAAAGAATAAACAAAACAAAAATTTAAATGAGGACGAAAGAGAAGGAAGAGGATTTGGAGGTTGCCTTCTTCTCTCCTCTTCATTTAAAAATTTTTATGAAAATTGTAAACCAAGCTTTACAATTTATATATCGATATATCGATCAATACACATATCGACTTAAAAGATAGATAAATATTTTAAACTACCAAATAAATCTAACAAATACAATAAATTATAATTAAACAATTTTAAATAAAATAAGCAACAATAATTAATGCATACTTATGCCTTTATAATCATAAAATAATAAATTATATAAGAAAGATACTAATAATAACTTAAACTATTCCAGATGGAAATTCCATTCATTGGATATTTTACCGACGCCGTTGACTACATATCAATAGCATTCAAAATATTATTGCTACTCGTAGCAATAATTGTATTAAAAAACGTATATATTCTATACAAAGTCATAACAATGAGACGACAACGTGCAAACCATCCATCATCTGTATAAAATTTCCATTGAGGACAATGGAATTATTTAAGGAGAGAGGATGGGACTTAAAAATTTCAAAAAAAAAAAAATTATTTCAAAAACATTAAAGTTCTAAAAATCATGTAAACAATTGCAGCGCCACCTTCAATAAACATTAAACTATTCATGAATCTAGACTACACCCCTGACTACGTATCGACCGCAACCATCGATCAACATTATACCGCAGCGCTATATACTACATGTCAAACATGGAACTACACAAAAACTGCAGAATGTAGTCACATTCTCAAAACACCAAATGACATCTAACAAGTAATATTTAGATTGAAATTGTTAATTAAATTAGAATAAACAAATAAACTAATTAAAATTAAATTATAATAATAATAATACATGTAAAACTTATATTAATTTAAAAAATTCAATCTAATAAAATTTTGTAAACAATGCGCTTGCGCAAACTAAAAAGTCACAAAACATGATTAATTTATTGGAATTATTACCAAACTATATTACAAAAAATTTAATCTTTTACAATTCAATTAAAATAAACAAATTAAATATATCTTTAAATTATAAGTAATAATTATCAATAATACGAATAAATTAATCTAAGCAACCTAATTTAATAATGCGTTCAATTATGTATGAACCTTAAAGTATTACGTTTTAAAGGTTCATGCCAATGCGACTATCAACTAACTTCACTCTATAACGCGCCTTACGTAATGTCATAATATAGAGTTTTTACACCTCGAATTAACCTACCATGCATTACACTGTATGTTTCGACCATGAGTATCGACCCTAACAAAACATCGTAGCGCCATGAAAAATATATCAAATAAGGAACTAAAGTTATGTCTATCTAATGTAGTCACAATCGTAATCATTAATAAAACCTAATAATTATACATAGTTATAACGGAAACTGTTAAACAATATAATTTGGATAATAACAAATTAAAATCTAATTTTGAATAATCATTAAATTACTTAATTATTAATTTTAATCTAACAGATTCAGTTGTAACTATAAATGCAATTTACTATGAAAATGCGCATGCGCCAATGAAAAATAGCAAAAAATAATATTTTGTTGAAAGATAATAATACAAAATTTTGATCTTGCAAATGGTGAGAATACATATCAATTGCATATATATATCGAAATATATAAATAGATGTTTACTGATTATAAAAATATATGAAGTATTCTGATAAAACAAATAACATTAAGATAAGGTGAATCGAAACCAAGCCCCTTAATTAATTTTAATAAAACACGTCCACGCCTTATGACGAATAACATAATTACTCTTCATTTAAAAATAAAAACAACAAAAACTTTTAATATAAATATATATATATTGAATTAATAATTAAACGGACAGAATGTATGCACAAATGTTATATACGTTAATATTGTAAATAAATTTTCTTTGTAAGAAATTTTTAATTTCAATATACATATAATAAAAATTTATAATAATTTTAAAATAAAACAACCAACATTTCAGTAATAAAAATTTTTATTGTAAATAATCGTTAGAAGAAAAGAGATTAATATATATATATATATATATATCTATATATGATTATTGGAGAAATGACAAAAGAAAAGAAAACAAAAGGAAGAAGACAGTATTAAATTTCGACATCAATTTCTTCATAGTCACGACTAGAACCAGGCTCCGATTCTTGGTCAATGTTTAACAACGGAGAAGGATGGTAATTCAATCCTTTGCGACATATACACTCTGCATCTCCAGCTAGATACATTCCACAACCGCAAAACTGATGATCACTATTTGGATAGCTAAAAAAAAGAAAAAAAAAAAAGAAAAAAAAAAAACAAACAAACAAAAAATTAAAATGGTTTTGATATAACAATATTAAGATTATATCGATTAATCAATAAAATAAATAACTTACCCTTGACAAATGGACATCGAAGGATTTGAGATATGAGTGCAGGCTCGAGGATTCGGATTCTCATCAGACACTAATTGCGTGACAATATTATTTAATTCATCTGAATGCCTCTTAACACAAACTAATACGTCATTATATTCCTCCACCTCTGCACTCAAGAACGGTACATTTTGTGATGTTGACGGAGCCTTAATACAAATCCTTTTCTTAGGACGTCCACGCCTTTTTTTGAATAACTTTATGAGATGTTGGAGCATCCAAATAATTTTTGATGCTTTCGGCCAAATTCAGAAGACGACTCATTTCATTTATGATGAAAAACATCCTTGCCAAAGTTTTTGGGTTAGGACGAGCCGACCTTCTGTGTTTTATGGAAACTAAAAAAAAAAAAGGGAACAATAAACAGCTTACATTAACTAATATATATCGACATGGTAACCATATAATCTAAAAAGAGAGTCACTGGATAAAATGTTTTTTTTTTGTTCTAAGGACAAAACGCGCACCAACACTCCTTGACGACGACTGTCTAGTTCTCGCACGATTTCAAATTCGTTTTTTGAAAATGTTTTATTAAAAATTAATGAACACAAATTACATAAAACATCCACCGCCTTACTAGACGAAATTTTCCAAAAGGCGAACTGGAAAATACCTACCCTTTCTTCTAAATCTACTAAACGTTCAATAATTAACCGTTGTTGATTCACGTACGGAATATTAGGACGTAAACTGTCAATAGAACCTGATACTGCAACATTCGAATTTTCACTAAATTCTGTTATTAAATAATTATCACTCCCGAAATTTTCTAACATACTCAAGTCAAAACTATCGATTAATTCCTGAGATAAATTAATATGATCATTAGATGAACTCTCCATCACAAATCACATTCAAACGCGAATATGCACAAAAGGAAAATAAGTGAGAATAAGAAAGAAAATTCATTATAATTCAAAATTACTCACCAGGGGGCAATTGTTTATCCCTTAATAATGGTAGCGGTAACATCCTCTCTTCACAGTAATCAACAAAATTAACAGTAACTGCACTAAAAACAGATCTTTGATCATCCATAACACAAAGGAAACTAAAGGTCTTTTGATGCAACTCAAAGGTTGACCTAATGTATGTCATCTTGCAAAAATTTGATGACACTCATAAAAGAGGATTTTGTGTCAAGAGTCACGTACACAAGGAATAGTTGTTTTGACTTCTGCAAAAAGGCTCGCAACTGCATTTTTACCTTTTGTCATTTTCCTTGTCAGCATAGATATAGTTAAATTAAACTACATAATTAAATTATTAAAATTCAATGTTTTATTGAGGACAATAAAAATCTAAGGGGGGAGGACTGTTACATCCCGATATAACAAATTCTTTTCAAATTAATTAAGTTCGCCTACAACTAGGCAACCAAAATTACAATAGTTTTAATTATCATAAATATAGTATATATGAATTGGAATGAATGTATATAAATAACTATATATATACCATAATTATTAATTCATGCGAATATAATTATATGTCATCATAAAAATCAGTATTTCTTGAATATTATAATCAGTAAATAATCTTTTACAGTATATAAAATATTTTATTATCGATTAAGATTTAACAAATGAAAAGATTGCAGTCGGTTAATTATCTACATTAATCTCGGTAAGAAACCGACTGTAACTATATAAATGACTAATCGTTGGTCGGTGTATTATCACGTAATGATGTATGTATATAAGATGCCGAAATTACGAGCTAACTGCAGCCATATATCTTTAATAAATTTCGTAATTGTTTAAACAATCATCATTACATTATTTCAATACTATTAATTATATTATAATAATAATAATAAAAACATATATGTACATTGATTATTAATAGAATATCATATAAATCAATAATCAAATATCAATCAATAACTATTGATAAAAATCTAACAAATATAAAAGATAGTTTTATAATTAATAATTAATAAACTAAATTCTTAATAAATTAATTAAGATATTATTATAATTCTATTAATAAATAATGTACGTGACTTTTGCGCTAAATGAAAATTGTACGTGATAATTGCGCTGTCTGCAAATTATACGTGACAATTCTACCCCTATGAACAAAGATCATGTAGTATATAAACCCCAGTTTTTCTATTGCAAAATGTCAATTGTTCAGACGAGTTTCTGCCCGAACGGTGTCTTAAATTCGGCCCTTCGATTTCGTAATTGTTTATCACTCATTGCTGTTAATCGTGAATTTCGTGAACTTCTTAATTTCTTATTATTACTTAAAAGTTCATATTTTCATTGTATTTCTAAAACAACATTTAGTGTGAATTTAAACAATTCTTAATTGTCGTAATAATCAAATTGTGAAAGTGTAATAAAGACGAACTGTATCATTAATAATTACGACGCATCCAGAGACTCACTTCTGTAATCCTGGTTGCAGCTTGTTATATTACTGTATCGTCGCATCAATTGTAAGTACATTTATAATTAACAAATGTTTATAATAAATTGTCAGTCATAAAAAGGAATATCTCTCTTATATTATTTAACACAAAACCCTTAGTTTTGAGGAAGTGACGCGATCCTACATTAAAAATAAATATCAGGCTTTACCAACCTGATTAATCAGCAACTTATCTCCCTTTTATTATTATAAATAATAAATAAACTCTACCTTAGCTCGGGACGTGACAAGTCCTAGAACTAGAAACTCAAAAATTAGAGAAATATTAAAAATAGATGAAATATTCCTAAATATTTTAAACTTAACATATAAATTTTACACTGAACAAATAAAGAATAATAAAGCTCTAGATAACATTAAGTTGTATTCCAGGGACACTGCTCCATTTAAAATAAAACACAAACTGCCTTATGCATTAATTATATAATACTATAAATGACATCTATTTTTATACTAAAATACTGTTTTGTTTAGAGTATTTATTTAGTTTATAAGTATTTTTGTTATCCTTTTAGTTTTCTAGTCATTTCTTTTAGTTTTAGTTTTAAGTTTAAAAAGATTTCAAATGGGGTTTTTGGATTATTCTACCTTTATACCCAAACAAAGAATATATAAATATTATTAAATATATAAACTTTAATAAAATAAAAAACATTCAGATAAGTTACTTAAAATAACAGGCGCTGAATATATATCTTAGAATTAAGAAATTTTTTGTATAACTTTAATGTACAACTCTCAATGATAAATAAATATGGTTTTCATAGTCAAAAGTCGGTTCGCTCTCTTACCGTGAAGAACTCTAAAAGGTATAATCTTCCTTAGCTCAGAAGTACGCTTATTTTATTTTTTTATAAAATATTTTATTTTTACTAACTTTTATTAATTAACTAATATCTAAAATACAAAAAAGTAACATTTTCGTTCTTCTTGTACTAAAAGTGCAGATAAATCCATTATAATTCACCATAAGTCGTTGCTGCCAATTTTTAGAAATGTATAATTCGTTATAATAATTTTTTATATCCGTAGAATTCATTTTTGATAATTATTCGTTAAAATTTTGTACATTTATCTAGGAATCTAATTTTTAAGATGAATTGTACGAAAAAAGGTTAATTTAAGGTATCACATCGGTAAAACCGTTTTCTATAAATTTTCTTGAAAATTTTACCATATGTTCTTATTATCATTCTTGACAAATTTGCAAAATATGAAGAATTTTCGCCGTACGGAACCAGAGATATTAGCAATCAAAGTTGCTTATTTTGCATGGGAGACGGGACTAATGTTATAAATTAAAAATTCTATTTCATGACGTCATTTGCAATATATAGCACACCCGCCACTTTGATGTGGCAACATCGTAGGATGGTAACATTAGTTAGAGAGAGACAGTAGTCCACAGTAGTCAAAGCGAGACTTATAGCGACGTTGTCAAACCTCCTACTCCTTCCAATCGCTGCTAGTGTGGGGTATACGTGTACGAGTGTATTTATAGAAGTAGGTACAGTATGGGCTGAGAGTATAGGGAGTTGAGGGCGAAAGTATAGTGCGGGAAGTAGTAATGCGAGCTACAAACTTTTGACTCCGATTAGTACCGATGTGATACCTTAACAGGTGTCAAAATTAAATAAGAAGCACATAAATAATATAGATAATATACTTCTTTCAAGGATAATTGTTCAAAAAGTCTAATTTATGTATATTAATTAATTATTGTATAAAAAAGAATATATTATTAGGTAATAAATAATTTTTAAGCTTACTTGTTGCATGTCAAAATTTAATATATTTCAATTAAATTTTTCTATAAAATTTGTAGATAAATTTTCATTAAGGATGTTTATCCACGGAAATGCAGACCTCCAGAAAAAGTAATTAACATTTAAATAATTAAAATGATATTATAAATTTTACTTTCTAAAAAAAGAAATATCAATTTTCAAGAAAAAAATGTAAAACCTTAAAAATTTATTTGTTTATACAATTTGCATAGGATAAAATTTTTTGTCACATCGCTTCTACTGTGGGGATTTTCAAACAAGGAAGCTGTTTGGAAAATATGTCTATTTGTTTTAAAAAATCTAAATTTTTCTTCTAAACAAATAACTTTAAAAGTTTTCAATGAATTGATTTAATATTTTGCAGAAAACTTCCTTATATGTATAGTATAGTGATAAACAAATGTCTCATTGGAAGTTTTCTGAACTACAAAGTTCCACGCAGACATTTTGTCGATGAAAGTAAGAAAACGTTATTATGAACTGGTCTCAATTTTTATTAAAAAAATTTAAACGATTAATGATTTTTTAATTTTTTATTATTTTGTCGCCTTCAGTAGACCCTAATACGTGTATATATCAAATTTGAATCAAATTCATTAATAATTGTCGGAGATATGATGATTTATGTTTTAAAACTTAATTAAATTTAACTATTTAAATTTCTCAGTTTTTGGTCTCTAGAAACTAAACTATTCATTTTATTAAAAAATTTAAAAGAGAAAAAAGATGCGCCTTTTAATTTCCTACAATGTTGTATTTTTCAAAATTCAAAGTTTTGAATTTCAATTTTTATCATTTTTGCGAACGTTTATTTTTAAAATATTTCATTTTTTATTAACATTAATTAATTAATATCTCAAAAATAACAAAAAAGGACATCTCAATATTTTTTGTGGTAAAAATACACATTTTTAAATTTCAAAAAATAAATAAAAAAATGACCGAACTTAAAAAAAAGTCAAAAATATTTTTGAATCACTGTTTAAATTTTTCAAAAAAATTCAACCCCCTCCCTCTCCTGTAGTTTTTGAAAAACCTAACAATACTTCTTGTTTAAAATACTCACCCCTAGGGCTATGTGCAAGTTGCAGCCCGATCCGATCAACTTTTTTTCACTTATTACGCTACAGAAAATTTACCCCGTAAATAAAAATTATTTGATAGAGTTTTATTTTATCGGTTCAACTTCAAATAAAGTAAATTATTCATTAATACGAATAATTTATTATTTAATGTTAATAACTACATTTAACTCATAAAAATTTTTACTGCGTCGAATCTTAAATTATCGAATTTCTATTCATCAAAATTGTATAAAGTGGATTTTATATTAATATGCAAAATTTTTATACCGAAGAATTTATATTTAACTAAAATTCGATTTAAAAGAATTTCTATTTAGCAGAACTCTTATAAAGCATTTTTTCTAATACTTTTTTAAAATTTTTAATTAATATAATATCAATTTAACGAAAGTTTTGACTATACAAAGTGACAAAAAAAAAACTAAGTAGAATTTTTCTTAAATGAGAATTCTGTTAAATAAGAATTGGTTTTAATTAAAATTTTCTCTAATAAAAACTTTGTTACCCAAATTACTCCACTTTAAATCTTTAATAAAATAATTTCCTCACAATATTATTGCAAAAATGGAGAAGATCCCCACTCAGTGACCCTTCCTCTTTTATTCTTCCAAATGCCAACTCGAAATTCTTTATCCTTTAAAGATGAGAAGAAATTTACGAAACCCCTTTCGGCCAATGTTTAAACATTTTTTTCAATAATTATTTATCAAGATTATGCAAAATTCCGAGAAGAGCCCATGGCAGGATACCTTCCTCTATTATTTTCAAAAAATTAAAACCTAAAATA